CAAGGTCCTCCCTGACCCCAGGCAGGCAGGGGTGGGGAGAGGCGGGGAGGAAGCAACTTACCCTCCCTCTTCTCCTGTCTCCTCCTGGCTGAATGAGGGCCGGAAGCGGGGCGGCCAGAAGCAGGGGGCGGGGCTTCATCGTGTGCCCTACCCCCCGCACCTCACCCGGGGGAACGGCGATCCCCCATGATTTCCCCGAATTGACCTCTGTGACTTACCCAGGACAGAATACTTGCAACTGTTAAACAGCAACCACCCTACCAATAGTATATGCCCTCACATTATGCCTTTATCCTGATGACCAGGAACTTGGAAGTCACCTCATAGGCTGTTCTCTGATCCATATGTTTGACTTCTGTTCCTATTTTGTGTCTAGGAATTACTTAGACTTATATTTTATAAACATTTATGACTCTGCTCACCAATCAGGCAATCTTTCATCTCATGAGAAACAATAAACTGATCAATAAGTATCTACTACGGCCCCGACTTCTGATTTAGATTATTTACTTTTCTGTAGGGTGGATCAAGGCAGATATAAAACAGTGATAAAAGGCAAGGAGTGGGGAAAGCAGGAAACAACAACAAAAACAAGTATCTTCTAGTCCTGATTCCAACATGCTCCTGTCTCCAGATCCCTGTTGCGGCTGCAGACTGTAAAAGAGGCCGTATATGGGGTCATGGCCGATGGGCATTAACCGTGCAGTCCTAACAGGAGAGGCTTTTTTGTTTTTTGTTTTGCTGTTGAGTCGCAGCCGACTTATGGTGACCTCATAGGGTTTTCAAGGCAAGAGACATTCAGAAGTGGTTTGCCATTGCCTGTCTTTGTATAGCACCCCTGGTATTCATTAGTGGAATCCCATCCAAATAATGATCCAAGATCTGATGCGATCGGGCTAGTCAGGTCAGGGCTAACAGAAGTTACACCCTTCTAAATCCATTGAAGTTAGTGGGCTTGGAAGGACATAACTATGTTTAGGACTGCACTGTAAGTTGTCTAAATTTGTTGTATATATCAGATAGTAAAAAAGTTAAATATTTAAGAAAGTTGCAGTGTACCCTCTGAGATTATATAATGATTCTATGCAGTTTTATAGGTATAACAGCTAATTTTATTTATTCAGTATCTAAATACTAAGCAGGAAGTTTTGACTTAAATCAAGCCCCCCCCCCCTCTTTGGTGGTTTAAGTCTTGATTTAAAGTACTCCACCCCACTTGTCTGTTACTTCAGGATGGCACACTTAGATGGTGCTCAGTAGGTTCCATGAATCTCGACAGTACAGAGGTCACAGTTCAATAGGGACTAATTGCAGAGGTCACAGCAACAGGGACTAATTCAGCTGGCAGTCTTAGGCAGAAAGCTACAAAAGGCATATTCAGTACTACTGGGAGGGGGGAATTGCTTGTGCCAGCTCCTATTTGAACAGCAGACTGTGTGCCTGTGTTTTACTCTGTTGCAGTTCCTTAGCGAAAATCCTGATCTATGAATAGGGATTGTCGTGACCATAGTGAACTAATGCTCCAAATGGGATCCTTGAAAACCTGCAGAGCTGTAAGCAGCTTTGGATGTGGTGACAGATTGGGGGGAGGGATCAGGAAGTTGCTTCTCTGTCACTCTGCAGGGGAAGTGCAGAAGTTCTTCTCTAGTGCTTAAATAAGAAGCACAAAATGCTGCCTGCTCCATGACATTGTTAATGGCATCCAAAACAGCTCTATAGTAGCAGTGTTGGACTTAAATCTATATGAGGTGAGATGAAACCAAAATCTTAAAAAAAAGAAAAAGCTTTTCTTGAGCAAATTTGAGATGCCTCAAACAAGAAACTATACTTTACTTCTCATAATCGGAATAGAGTCTAAATTATGAGAAATGATAAAATTACAGTATTAAAATTTAACTTACAGCATTTGTAATTATGTATATCTTTGGCTGTGTACAGAACATAGATTTTTCAGAGGTGTCAAGACAGTATTGTAGAGCTGCCATTCTTAATGCACATACTCTCCTTTTTTGTGTCTTTGTTAAACTGTTCTTCAAAGATTCATGGTACTTCAAGCTATATCCTGTGAAAACTAAAACTAACAGCACCTCCTAAAGAGAGGTGCATCCTTCTAAATCCCATGAAGTCAGTAGCTTTAGAAGAGTGCAACTCTGCTTATCTTACTGTTCTTCTGACTCAAAGGTCTTGAACAGATTTAAATCCAGCCCTCTCTGTAACTCTGTTTAGGATTTTACTGTTAATCTCAGAAGTATGAGCTGAGATGCTGCAAGAGACATATGTACATTTTGATACAATGCAGCGTCCCTGAAAGTTGTTTATGCCATGCTATCTGGCTATCTCATCTATGTCCTGCCCTTTCTCCAGTGAGCTCAGAAAATCTTGCAAGGTTCTCCCTTTCTCTTGCCAGTTAACCCTGTAAAGAAGATTAGGCTCTGAGGGTGCATTCAGATGGACAGCTAATCCCGTCATTATGCCATCTTGAGTTTTATCCCGATCTTTTTAATCCATCATAGCACGACCAGATATCCCCCCGGTGAATTGCCTTACTGCCTCCATTGTGGATTGTCTAGATGGCGTCCACTGAAGGAGGCATGCGCAGTGGGTTTGTTTAAAAAAACTTTTTGCACATGTGCATAGGCGTCACAGCACGTCCTTGTAGAAGGAGGTGCGCGGTGGGTTTTTAAAAAAACCTTTTTGCGCATGCGCATAGACGTGATAGCACGTCCTTATTGATCCATGCATGTGTAGAGATTTTTTAAAATGGCACCCGCTTGGGATGGTCTGACGTTAGACCACCCCAACAGGAGGATTGCGCGCTGGTGGAACGATCAGGCGGGTGAAAGTCCGCAGTTGTCCCGCAAGTAACCGAAAACCCCAGATTTAAAGTGCTATCTTTTAAGTACGGCTCTGAAGCGTGGCAAAACGGGATGCCCACAGAAGAGGGACATTTCCCAGATGTTTGTGTCTGGACATTACCTTTAGATCCATGAGGCAATCGTGCCTCGTGTGAATCTAAAGAACCGTCTGATCAGACTCTGAGAGAGCAGTCAGCCCAAGCACATCAAGTGCGGATCATGGCACACAGGGGATTTGAACCAGGTCTCCACAGTCCTATCTTGGTTCTCTAACTGGTACACCATATAGGCTGTCCATAGCTCCTTATCCCCAGTCCCCAGAGAACTTTTTTAGAACTGTTTTTCACTTTTGTTCTTTCAGTTGATGGAAGGATTGTTGTTTATTCATAGACATTCTTCTGTACTTTGATAAAGAAACACAGAATTAAAAGGGTCTTTTCAGATTGTTTTTGGTTTGCAATCCTAGGGCTTTTAGAAAACAAATATAATCAGTGTAATAATTCCATTCAGTTTTTCCACTGTATGGTTGCTGTGTGAACAGATTCCCCACTTTACAACAAGTAAATGCATACAGTAAATGTATCCAGTTATCAAGTCACTAATAAGTGGATATGGGAATAATAATTCAAATTCATTTTATAAATGCTTTTGTTCATTTCTTCTCTTGTCTTAGGTTGATGGAAACAGCAAGAGAAATGACCAGGGAATCTTTACCTATCAAATGCCTTGAAGCAGTTATCTTGGGGATGTATCCTTTTGTCAACAAGTTCTTGGTGCAGACAGCCTAATCTATTTTTTAAAAAATGCTAATTGAATACACTTCTTGGATGATGTGTGATTACACCAGCTAATGGTGAGTTAACAGAGCTGTTATTGTTTGAAACCTGATTCCTTTTCCATATACTTTTCTAAAACCCCAAATAACTGTTTGTCAGTGGGGTTTTTATAGATGTTGAGTGGGAAATGTGAGGGAGAACATCAGTGTTTCTGTTGCAGATGCATAGATGGTTTTATCCATGCTCAGGGTTGCACCTGAGTCTTTTAAAGCAGTGGCTTTAAAAGTGGCTTTAAAAGTGGCTTTTAACAGTGGCTTTAAAAGTGGCTTTTAAAGCAGTGGCTCAAATGGCAGATATTTCAATAGGGAGTTGATTTACTGGCAATGTGCATGTTTCTCATGGCAAGTAACATCATGTCTATCGGGCGCTTCCCTTCTGATTGGTCTGATTTCTGACCCCATTGATCCAGCCTAGCTCCCAGCAATTGGATCACTGCTAGATGAATATTGCCCAAATAAGGCCAAATAAAGCACACGTTAATCCAGTGTCAGTAACCTATGTTCAAACCCTTTTTACTTAGGTAACAAAGTTTACCAGCAATTTCTGATTTGCTTATTGTCAAGATAAATGCATATTTCAAAGCTAGTGCATGAGAGAGAAAAGCTCAGTTTCTTGTTATTCTTGGGATGTCCTAGTTTTCTTTAAAAAATGTTTTGTCAAGCCTAGGAAAGCAAAGGTGCTGCATTGTTTGTGAAGCTAGTTCTTTATAATCCTCTTACAATGAGTTAACCTGCTTTGTTGCTAAGTATTTGCAGCTCTGAAGTTGCAAATCATATGTGCTCTTCTGAGCTCTGTCGGTAGACAGAGAGAGGCCATGAAGGGCCTTGGACAAAAAAGGCTGGGTTAGGATCCGGAATGGTCCAAGAGCCAGATCACATGCAGTATTGAAGGTGTGTGCTTTGATCCTCTGTCTGTTTTTTAAAAAAATCTCTTCTCCATGTGCCATTTCCTCAGTCAGGAATGTCTCTCATTACCTTTAGTCCCAAGCAGAGGTTCCTCTAAGCCGTGGAGTCTTGTGAGCAAAAATCCTACTTTGTGAGCTACCGACATTAAAGTTGTGAGCGAGCGATTTGGCTGCTGCATAAATTAGTTGGCTCTGGAGCCCTCCTTCCTGAGCCAGGACAAAAATGTGTGAGCCGGAGGCTAGAAAACTGTGAGCTAGCTCGCACTGACTCAGCTTAGAGGGAACACTGGTCCCAAGTAGAGAAAAAGACAGTTACCCTTACACTCCTGTCTTTTTCCTTCCTGGAGCATCAGTCAGTCTGGTCAGGTACAATTTCTGACTGGAGAAACAATGTACTGGGGTCAGCCTTTCTTCTATTTCTATGTGGCCCCTTATGGCTTCCCCCCCCCACCTCAGCAGCACACATCTGAGTAGGGATCCCAAGGCCCCCCGGGGGGCGGGGAAACCCCGCCCCAGAGGCCCGTTCCCCGGCGGCGCTGGATCGGGCCCCGGGGGGAACTCCACCCTGACGTGCGTGTCACCCGGAAGTGACCCGGGCATGAACACACAAGACGCCAGCCGGGAGCCCGCTCCCGGCAAAGATACACTTGGCAACCCTACATCTGAGGGTCCGATCAGAAATCCCTAGTGCCATATGTAGTTTGGTTCTAAGAATAAGTTATTTCACCCTATTGACTTTTTCCATTTGCAACTCCAGCTTTCAACCCAGTTAATGCTTCTCATCAAATTATCTTGTTTGTACCGAAGGCAGGGTACAGTAGGGTCTGATCCAGGTCATGGCGTGGCAGCTCAGTGATAATCTGTGGCCATGCTAATTTCTGTGCATTGCTGCCAGCACTCAGGAACAGTCCCCAGCCAGAACGGCAGTTTCTCTTTTCCTGTTTTGAAACAGGGAGCTGCCTTGTGCCAAGCTGATCAGTGAGATGTCATTTTAATCAGGCCGCTTTGCCAGCTTGCACAGTCAGCTTTTGCAAGTTATTTTTTTTGGGTGGGGGAGGAGGGCAAATCACTTTAGTAATCTCACTTTGTGTGTTGAATTAGGTTTTACAGAGCTCCCTTCCTGCTAGAGCCTTTTTGAAGAGGTTTTTTTTAACATGCTGAGTAAAGTAGTCAATTAATTGCAAGACCCAGCTCGTGCACACTGAAGGTGTCTTATCAGAAGTTCCCCCACAGCCATGTGGCTATTAGATTCTGAATAAATAGAGCAGGGGAGTTGATGCAGACTTCTTCACTGGAGGTTTCCAAGGAAATCTTCCTGTGGAGACAGTGTCCAAATGTACTAGCCTTGATATAGTTATAGTCCAATGATATCCTGCCACCTCATAATCACTTTCTTTATATTTAAACCTGCCTTGCTGACAAACAGTCAAGGCAACTTACATTCTAAGACATCATAGAAACTGTGACAATCAGCAACGAGGAAAACTTCCATTACCAGAAACAAAAGCGGTGTATACCTACCTGGCTAAAATAAATACAAAACCCTGGGATTGTAGTCGAAAAACAAATGTCAATGTAATACCTTTTTATTAAGACCAACCAAGATAGTGCAACATAGACCCTTTTGAAACTGCCTTTGTATGCTGTTTTAGTAACTAATGGATTTTTTTTCTGTCATGTCAGACAGACTCGTTTTAATAACTGGCTGCTAGCAGAATTTATTTACCTGTTCATACAAACCCGCTTGTGCAGGGTTAGCAAAGTGTGGTTGAGCCATTTTTGAGGCTCAACTGCTTCCCCCCCATTTTCAACCCCTTCGTTGTGCTTATGAATCGCTGTGGTTTGCTGTTTAAAATGTCCATAGCACTTCCTACAATGCCGCTCCCCCCACCCCTTTTCACCACATGATCTTCCTCAGATTAAAAAAAACACATTCTAAGGTGAGCGCTGTAGTCAGTGCATCTCAACGGTGCCGCTATAGCACTGAAGCTATAGCATTATAGCCCTCACCTTAGAATGTTTTTTTAAAAGTCCATGGAACATTGCAAAGCGTAAAAGGGCAGGAAAACAGTGCCACTGTTTGATATGACCGTAGTGCTTCAGAGACGGCTCATTAATGTAAGGAAACTCACTGTCCCTGTATTGCTTTACTTGAAATTGGGCCAATAACTAATAACATCCAGTTTAGAACAGTAATGTGAAAAGGGCCATAGTGTGTAAGCTTTTGAGTTCTGCAGAACTCTTCATCAGTCTGGAAGAGGAAGATGATGAAAAAGGATATCTGGTGTGATAATATCTGGTATTATAGATGAATTTTCACTGCTTTCCTGAATGTGTAGGAATGTGCAAGACAAAATGTTCTAAGTCGGAGCACTTGTTATCTGTGGAGCGATTAGAAACAATGCTCTGCGTGACTCCTCTGAGCTCTCCTTGTGCGCAGGTCTCTCTCTCTTCATTATCTGAAAGGGCTGGGGGAGGGGGATCTTAACTCATCAAGAAGGTAGGCTAAGAGGCTACCACAATGAACCTACCATAATCCTCCAGCCTAGTATAATCTGCCACAAACACAAGACAAGGATTAGAAACACATGCAGAACGAGTAAAATTCTGTAGTTTGTGTAATGGGGTGTGTATGTGTGTTATGTATGTGTAATATTTTGATTAAGATAAAATTAAAAAACAAACTGAAATGTAATTTTCTAAATAGTTCTGTCAACCTAGTACAAGTAAAAGGTTAAACGCTGAGAACCTCACAGAAGTAAAAGGTAAAATGAGACAAGATAATAAAATGAGGTAGTTTGGGCCCACCCTTTGGAGTAATTGCGTAGACATGGCCTGCTCTGAATTTCAGCTCTGGAGGGACCCAAATGGGTGGAAGTTGTCAGGATGGCCAATGGCTGGCAATCAGTGGGAGTCTGGGGAGGGGACATGAGGGATGCCAGGATGTGGTAGCGTGATGTCACTTTTTGGGGAACCCAGAAGTGATCTCACACCTCTCTAGGAATCACTGGAAACTGTGGTAAAACTGGGGCAATTCCTAGAGGGGACTGATGTCACTTCTGGGGTTTTTTTTTTGGGTATCCTGCAACTACTCAAATCAGATGCAACATGGATTGTAAGTACTTTAGTTTGCGCCTGTCTTTTTCTTTCTTTTCCTTAGTGTGCCTAGATCCTGTCCTTTGCAATACCCTGAGTGTGACTCTTGTAGAAATAATGTGCTTTTTTAACTTGAGAGAGTCTGCACAAGTCCTTATCCACCTGCATGGCTCCTTGGCATGCTACTGAGCAATACCCCTGTGAGGCCAACTTCAAGCAACCATGTGAGAAAGAGGGGGGCTGAATTTTACCCAAAGCAGTGGCAGTGACTGTAAACTGTGGCTAGTCTTGCCCCACAGCATGACAGAGACCATGACAGCAGCATTATTTCTGGCCAAAGAAATTGAAGTGGTGACACCATGTTGCAGTGGCACTAAGAATCCTGTCAATCCATGTGATTTTTTGCTGTAGAGATTCAGGGGATTCCTAGAGCGCTTCTGCAACACAGTGATGTTGCTTCTGGATTTTTGGCTGGAACAATGTCAAGGTGTTGCACGGTGCCGTTTCCACCTCTTTATTCAACTGCTCTCTCCAGCTGGTTGCCTGTGACTGGCTGGCAACTATATTTCAGAAGTTCCCAGCACTGCCTTGAATCATTCCTGGAAATAAACTGGTAATCATTGACAATGAACAGGAATTGGTGTTACAAGCTCTCTGTGAACATAACAGAAGTGCCCTGCTGGATCAGACCAATAGTCCATCTAATCCAGCATCCTGTCCCACACAGTGGCCAACCAGCTCCTCTGGACAACCAAAAACAGGGCATAGAGGTGGAGGCCCTTCCCTGTTGCTGCCCCCTGGCTTTGGGATTCATACGATGGATAGACATATCCTCCATGAATCTGTCTACTCCCGTTTTGAAGCTGTTTATTCCTGTGGCCATCGCTACATCCTCTGGCAGCGAATTCCACA